ACCATGTGACCGGATCGTGCAAAGGGTCTATTCCCATCCATTCCAAAAATGAGGTCCAAAAAAAGAAGACGGATATAACTGTAAAGATTTTTGATGTAGCTTGCATGTGGATTGTGCAATCAAGACAAAATAAAAACTGTTTTGAGAGTTATTTATTTAAATTTTGCACTTTTTTTAACACCAAAGGTATACGTTATAGCTAAAAAGCAAAGATTCTTTGCATGCCATTTGGATTTCTTGAGACAGCGCCTCAGAGGTTGTTTTAAGCTTACTCTTTAAAACTGACTGACAGAAATCGTTAATGTGCTATAATTATTGCAAGGCGCTTCAGATGTAACAAAAAGTATGTGGCACTTTTCACTTTATTTTCAATACAAAAGATTTGTGCTGCAGCTGTACAGGATATAAATAGAACTACACTACATTAATAAATACACTGTCATTCCTGGATGATGGCAGAGTCTCTTGAACTCTGGCTTTAAAGTTAAATAATCATTTCCCTTGATGTAACTCCAGAATATTATTATCTTTGTCAAAACTCTTGCCATCCCTAACAACATGTGACAACCCTTGGGGAAGTGACAACCTTCTGATAAGCTTTAAGCTTTCAGTTAAATTTTATATTAAGTTGTAAAAATCCTATAATTCATTAGAATCTCAGCCGAAGAACATCTAAACTTGGGCATCTAATGGCCCGACCACATCATCCCCTGCCAAAAACTTTACTACACAGAGAAATAGTTTTCCTGAAGTTCACTGAATTTATATTAGGATAATCGTCTGGAAGTGAATATGCACGGTCATCAAAAACAGACTACATTAAAGAGCACCATTGCACTATCCAGCTCGACATATCCTAAATAATAAATAATTTGGTGTTGAATATAGAACTGTGCTGCATCAGGAATTGAAAGTTCTCATCATGAATTCCACTTTGTCAAGGAATCTAATATTGTTTTCTTTTTTGTGCTCAGGAGAACATTGTAATACAGTTACAAATTGTTTGATTGTTATCCAACAATTTCCAACTCAAACGACTGAGCACTTGCTGCATCACTGCTGCATTCATCCTGTATATTCACTGTAACCAGTGTCTTGATGGTTTCTATTGCTGCCGGCAGCTCTTCAGGTGAAAAATATCTGCTAAGTACAGGAGCTTTCTTTCCCATGCAGTAGTCTGCTTCGTACAGAAGTTTAAGAACAGTCCAAATATAGCCATCTGCAGGCTGATTAAGGAGAACTACTTGTCGTATTTCATCGATAAGCTTCCCCTGTGGATCTGAATTGTAAATGAAATCACAAACATAAGATTAGCCAAAATAGTTTAACTCAACTTCTTGTTTTTCCAAAGGTTACTGTTTTAGGGATTCCTGAATTTCTCTTATATTTTGAATTTCAAGTTGTCCTTCAGTCAGCTAATGCATGTCCTTCCACTAAAATTAATTTACACCAATTAGCAACACATGCAGGCATAAATTATTACAACATAATTTATTAACTTTACATTCACTCCTCGACAGGAAAAATTTTGAGATCAACACTGGGCTTGAGAGCTTGTTTCTGGACATTAACTGAAGTCTATCAAGTGCCCAGGCATATTCANAACTTTGATTTCTACTACTGTACATCTCTAGAACTTATTTAAAGACCCTGTCAAAAAATACCTACTTTTACCATAATACTTTGTCTCTTCTTGTCCATCCAGTGCTTAATTTCTTTGTCCAAGTCAATTTTCTCCAACACATACAAATCTAGCAAGACTGCCGCTGTTGCTGTATCTGTCATGGCGTTAGGCCTCTGTCTTCCTTCTACATTACCTGTGTGTTGATTTTGCCACAACAAACAAAATGCTTGGGATAAACTCAGTTCCCTCTCCGCGATGGAATGTTTATCGAACCTGTCAGAAGCGAGTAATTCGCCAATTTTGGCTGAAACGACCCATTCGGAAGCCATTACGAAAATTTCAAAATATTTAGCCGAATATTTTGCCAATAGTGTGTCGAGAGTGGGTAGCCTGTGCATCATGGACACTGTAGGGGAGGTACTCAGGGATAAGAATGTAGCGTGAGAGGGATGGTGGTAAAATGACAACAATATCAAAACAGAACTCACTTAGCGACAACTTCCAAGATGGCAAACCACAAGGTTCCGAGGTTTTCGACATGGACCAGCGAAACTTACATCGATCCTATAAATATGCCGGCAAACAGGTATTATACACCGCATTTTATGGCATACCGAGATAATCAACGATACGGCGAAGGCAGAGAAAAATGGTTTCAAGATTACCGTCGCTCGCACATCGCTGAAAAAACCCTGGTCAAGAATTTAAACACCCTTGGCTCTCCCTACAGACCAACAAGCTTTTCTGATAAACCAGATCGTGTGTTAGGCACTCGTTGCTTGCGAAGAGAAGCTGTTTTGAATAAGCCACGGCATCACCTCACTAACAGAATTCCAGATCGTGAGAGAGACCGTGCTCAAATTGACGACATTACATTTGAACACCGACAGCAATACAGAGACCAAAGTGGGACTTTGTTTGACCAAAAACTCGATTATTTTCACTACCCGACTACAGCGGAGCAGCAGTTTTTGCCTAAAGTAAGTCCTCCAGAGGGGACGATCGGTGATTATCCAAACTGTACGAAAGCTTCCTTGGAATACACTTATGATAAGGAGAGAGGCCCTAAAGACTACGAACTTTGGCATAAAGTGTAGAGCGACATTGAAGACGATATCTGCAAACATGGCGACGGATTGATGAGACTCCTAATATAAACAGATATCGTTGGTAAAAGAGAAAATATCAATCTTCGTTTATGGAAGTGGAAGGTTTTTACCAAATATATATCTTTTGGTCGATTCCAGAGAATAATAATAAGCTAAGGTTTCTGTAAGTGTCAGTTCAATTCGTTCCGATATATATAGCTTTACTTTTATAAGTTTACCAATACAGCAAAGCTTAGTGGATTGTTAACTTAAAACTAAAGGTTTAACTTTAAAAAAAGGAGGAGCCAACCTAGTATGCAGGCGTTTCGTGTTAATCTTGAGTTAAGCCATCTTGATTGGTTGGCGTCCTCTGTCCTTAGTGACCGGTTGTCAAGTTGAATAACTTAGTGATTAGTCACTGTCAACAGTGTATGTTAGAAGTGTAATTAAGAGATCAACGGATTAAAAACATTTCAAGCTCATTGCAGGACTAGATAACAAACATGTATGTCTTCTATATGGTTTTATTATTTTCACGGAAATCTGGGGAGAAATAGTACATCTCATTTTATATAACAGATGTCAGACAAAATTGAGTTTTCCCCATGTTGAGATAAAAATAATTACATTTACCGGTAGTAACTTGTAAATGAGTTTTTGAGTTTCCTGTTTAATTTTTTTCAACTTAGTTTTTATCTGGGGTAAAAAGATTCCTTTCTTGGAAAATTACTAGGAGAAAAAAGTGAACTTGACACAAAGCTTTCAAAAGTTGTCTGAATTCCTCTCCCAAATATGTGGAGGTTCATTTTGATTACTGGACTGAATTACAGCCTTGTAAATAAAATTTTTACCATACAGCCGTAATCATGTAATGCTATTGAAAACAATAACGTTGACCCAAGGATGTGAGCCAGTTGGAAGCCATCCAGCCTATTACACTTAAGCCCTGGCCAAATGGACTCGGAAGTAGTTGCAAGTAGCCCCAAGTTGATCTTATGTTGAAACTTGCATTGGGTGGCCAAATGGACTCGCAAGTAGCCCCAAGTCGATCTTATGTGGGAACTTGCATTGGGTGGCCAATCAGACTCACAAGTAGTCGTAAGTAGCCTCAAGTTGATCTTATGTGTAAACTTGGGTGGATGCCCAAACAGACTCGCAAGTAGCCCCAAGTTGATCTTAAGTTAAACTTGGGTTAGGTGCCCAAGCAGACTCACAAGTAGCCCCAAGTTGATGTTATGTGGAAACTTGGGTTGGGTGCCCAAATGGACTTGCAAGTAGCCTGAAGTTGATCTTACGTAGAAACTTGCATTGGGTGGCCAAACGGACACGCAAGTAGTCACAAGTAGCCCCAAGTTCATCTTATGTGGAAACTTGCATTGGGTGCCCAAATGGACTCGCAAGTAGTCCCAAGTAGCTATAAGTTGATCTTACATGGAAACTTACATTGGGGGGCCAAACGAAGTCACAAGTTTCCTTGCAAGTACACACAAAAACATTTCAAGGCAGACATATCCTGTATTTCATTGATTGATCATAGCTGGTGAATGGACGCCATTCAACTTGCATTGACTTGGGTTGGGTGGCCAAACAGTGACAAACTTGCATTGAATTGCATGCAAATTTGATCTCAACCAAAGTGAGCACAAGTCATCGCAAGTACATGCAAAGGCAGGCCAAACAGAGTCGCAAGTAGATCCAAGTTTTCAACTTGTGTCTACTTGCAAGTCTATTTGGTGAGGGCTCAATGCTCCATTGTCATATAAGCTTGCATAATTCACTGAATATGTGCAATTTAGACAAATATTCTCTGAGAAATTTTCACAAGGTGTAACAAAATCCAGGTCAGGAGAGGTGGCAATCTGATGTACTTGTTTTGTTGACTCAAGTTAGTTCTGGACGGACTGCGGAAATGTTAGGCTGTCTGTCAGGGTGTACAGGCTTTGCTGTGGTTGATCCCTATGTCCTGACCTGAAGCCAGATATTTTCTTTTGTAGCCCTTCCACTCAGTACTACATGAAGTAACCTTACATTATTGTTTTTGACCTGCTATATGTAACCACATCTTGACTTGTACAGTGACCACCTATCTGGATTTCATCAGTGATAAAATCATTTAAACAAAGCAAAACTAAAATGGATTATTCTCCACCCAAGTCCTTGGTGTTTTTCTTGGATTTGCATTGTTTTAACATTTTTAATAAAAAAAATGAACATGTCTATTAATATGTTGTCAGTCTAAAATCCCTAACAAGCAAATGCATGACTATTAGTTAATTTTGAAAAATTCAAATTGACTTAAAATTTAGATTTGTTCAAATTAACCAGTAATTTGGGCAGTTTCAGGTAGTTGACTTCTGGTAAATCCAATTTATGCACTTGTCAGTGTTTTTTCGTCGTCTAACATTTTGACCTATGTGAGCCGTGCATGCATGGAGAAGTGTGGAAAATTAGCAAACCTTTGTCTTGCACTACAGTGCAAGTAAAGAATGACAACGGTGGAAATGGCAGTGGGAAAGGCCATTAAAATCCCAAGTTTTTCATCATATAGTCTTCACTTACACACAAAGAGAAGAGTCGAATTAGCTAAAAGTGTCATAACCTGGTATTTCAAGGCCTGTGTTGGACATGGCGAGCATGTGCAAGGGTTATCCACACTAGTGTTGTAATGAGTAACAAGGTCTTTGAATAAATTAAAATGATGAGAACAAACTTTGGGTTAGCAAAATCTGTATTTTCATTATGATAGCAAAACATTCCTCTCCGAATTTTTTTGATCCATGACTCTGGTGAAGCATAATTTTTTGCGTAACAAATAAATAATAATAATTGCAAAAGTAATTTCCATGGTTTGTTTGCCCAGTAGTATTTTCTCTCTTATCGTGTTTGCTGATTTCTCCATATTATGTTCTTTACTTCAGCTGGGTTTGATCTGAAAAAAATAATTTAAAAAATGTATGTAAGACTGAGCTTTTTCATGTAAACAATTCATCTTTTTTAATAATTTTCATTAGTTGAAACGCTTATGTTTACCCTGAGATAAAGGATTTTATAACTTTTAAACAGTGTTAATCAAGGTAAAGAAATCATATTTTCAGCATGCATACAAGCTCTACAGATGTGCCAGGAAAGCACGAACAACTACGTGGCAAGGTATTACTAAAACATTGAAGACTATACTTAAAAGATCTCTTTACCTTTATCTGGAAAGTGCCGTCTTTCTCTGTGTTTTTGAGGAGTACTTTTGAAGTCCAACCGGCTAGCATGGTGTTGATTTGAGTCGCCTTTAAACACAGCACTTGCAAACGCGCTTGGATCATGTTTCCTGTTTGCTCGTAACCAGTCTTGCTTGGAATTGAGTTCCACGGTGCACCAGGATTCCACGTTCATGGTAATTCTTGAATTGCCAGCGAAGTTTCAGGAACTTTTATGGAAGTCGTTCCGAAGCTTGACTTCTCAACTCTGCTTTGTTTGATTTGTTTACAATGAATGAGTCGTTTCTATGGAAATGACGCTAGTTCCAGTTCACTGACCTGTGTTGGAATGCTCCTTCAAATTAAAGGCCTGGATGCAAAGCAGCAGGCCTGGTTTTGCTACACGAGGAGCGAGGGAAAATGGCTGAATTTGAGTGAAAGTTGTCAATAATATTATCCCGGTTATTGTTGCAAATATGCATGATTTGTCCTAAAATACTCAAAGGAGAAGGCTTCTT